ATTTTAGTTCTATTGAGAGCATTAATACTGTGATTGCGTAGTAAATAAATGTATTTATCTCACTGTTTAATTTTCTTTTACAAAGCCACAGCAGAAGTAATTCCACAGTTTATTCACATACTATGTTAAAAAATAAAGTCTTCTAGTTTTAATTCTATTGAATAGTCCCCTGTTTTCAAAGAAAAGAAACTGGTAAGTCTTACTATCTCAAAGGACCACTTTAACTTTTTTGCTTTTGTTAATGATAAAGACTCCTAATATGTGTTGTCTTTAGGTCACTGGCTACTTTTTCCCTAAACTTGCAACAGAAATATTCTCTAAAATGGGGAAACCAGGACTGTAAAGAATATTTTAAATGAAACTGTATTGTAAATTAATACAATGGCACTATAGTATTTTTTGTATTTGTAATCCCAGCTGTCACACACTGAATCATATTGTTTGAACACAAGCATACAGTTGTTTCATTAAACTGTCTGTGAAAACAGACCAAAATCACTTTTGATATTAAAGTTACTTTATATCCTGTAAGCGTTTTACATTGTTGCACTCAGTGGTTATTACTTTACACCTAATTTCTTGTGCCATCCTATTTTTCCATGTATCTACTTTGTTTGTGTCTGTCTGTGACCTATGTCCTCTAGACATGACCTACTTAAATGAGTCTCTTTCACAAACATTGCTCTTTCATTGCTTCAAGTCACTAATATTGCAGCACTTATTTCAATAATTCTATAAAGAACATATTGCCAACCATCTGCTGGAAGAAACATTCTAATGGGCTACAGCAGTGATGCAAATACTCTGGAGAAAGAGCACTCCATGCAAAAGGCAAAACTGTAACTTTTATCCTCTTCTGACAACAACAGTAGTACCAGGAAACTATGACATCTTTACCAAACAGGAGAGCCTTTTATGCCATGTGCTGCCCATCTAGTCAGTAGAGAGCAGTGCCAATTTATATTTCACTCAGCAAAATAAATACTCAAGTGTTATTACTTGAGTAATAATTCTAATATTAATTAATAATTCTCAGACACATGCATTATCCATTTTCCTATGAACATGTAATTTTTATCCTATGCTCCATAGTGATTGATTGCTTCTCAAGACTATAAATTCCCAACATGAGGTTTCAGCTAGCTTGTGAAAACCCCTAGCTGCTCACCAAATTTCTCCAGTAGTTTCTTAAGACAGCATGCAAGAAGAAAATTGTATATGTCAACAACAGTCAAAAGAAAACAGAAAAGTGGGAACTATAAGCCAGGTTCTTACAAATGCAATTCAATGTAGCATTACATGCACTGATATGCTGCAAGTAAAATCTTCCGCATAATGTAAATTATTAAAACCGGCCCTCAAATTGCAACTAAAGAAATACATAAAAGGAGTTAAAACAGGCACACACAGAACACATGAAACCAATTCCCAATGAATAAACCAATGAAACCATACCAAAGAATAACACGTCAGTTAACCAAAAATGGTTGTCATTTTCTGAAATGCAATTTATAATATACCCCACGAATGCATGGAACATTAACCTGATGAAACATCAACTTAATTATTTTCAGCAAGAATACCTTCTGACAGAAAATACCAGCACTGATATTGTGGTAAGACTAAACATGTATCATGTGTCTGCACGTTGTCAATGGATTGTTCCTATTTCAAGTAAGGCTGACAAATTACCATTTGAACTACAAAAATGCACACAGCACAAGTAATGCTTTTAAATTCAAAGCAAAACATAAAGCAGTTTCCCCGTGCTATGACAATGTTAGACCTGACCTTCAATATCACTGTAAAGAGACACTATAAAACCTTACAATTCCCTTCTTAGCTCCAGGCCCCCACCCCACAGGGAAGCCTCTAGGAATCCCTCCAACAAAATACTGTTCAGGCATATCATCTCCCTTTAACATTGCAGGTCACCAAGAAGTCATTTGTTGTTCAGCACATTTAATTTTTAATTTACTCTATGGATAATATATTAATTACCTGTGCCTCTATTGCACAGGAGTAAAATTCTTTACCTCCTTCATGTGCTACATGAAGCTGCAGAAAAACAACAGTATTTTAATTAAAGGCATGTAAAATACTTTCACATGAGGATATTGTGATTTTCACAAGACTTCTTTTAATTGGAAAAGTAATGAGGGAAGACAGAAAAATCTAATTTCTAAAAACAGACTTTCAGATATCTGAGAAGAAAAACTCATTATATTGATTTGACAAATTTATTTATTTCTAAAAATATGCAAGAGCACAGAGAACAGGTGCTTAGAAGCTCCTCTCTCCACTTCATCAAAGAAGCGGAGAAAATCTTAGAAATCAGACAGCACTGGTATTCCCACTGTTATGTCATAAAAACTCTTTTAATCCCATAGAACAGACTAATCACATTTCCACTGTAACTTATTACTTATCAGAAGGAACCTTTTACCATTTTACATTTTCTGTCAGAAAAGATTGTGTCAGGTCTTTCAGTGATGGGATCAATTAATGCTGGTTGGGAAACTATGACATTAGTTTGCTCAAAATTATAAACAATTGAACTGTCAATACAAATACAGATGAATAAAACTAAGAAATAAAACCTGTAATATAATAATTCTTTCTAGTGGCTTTTCCTGAATAGCCATCAGTGCATATGAATACACTTCCCAGGCAACTCTGACACTGCAGATAATTTTTCATTGCAACCCTTTCAGGTCATTTCCCTTTCAAAGAAAGTGACAAAGGACAAAGCCCTCCAATATAGTAGCAAACATTAAAAAATCCCTACTACACTACATTATTTCATTTCTCACCAATCTCCTTTAAGAAAAAAGGGCACAGCAGGTGGCTAGTAAAATCTGTAGCAAATCTGTAATGAGTCAGATCAAGCAGAGCTGGCAAGCATACAGGAATATAATCAGAAATCAGTGCAGTAAAGCTTACTTTATTCCCCAGAAACGCAAATCATTACATTAAAAGCTTTCAACATTTTGATAAATATGAAAACAGCCATTTCAAAAGAATGAGAGTATAAATTAATCCTTTCTAGTTAAGGATCTGTGCACCAGTGAAGCAATGACAAAAACAAATGCACTCAGACATTGCACTAACTATATTTCACCTGATCATCTTTTACTTACTTGAGCATTTTTTCCCATATATCACTGTCATAAAAGGCGTGGTTCCAGCCCATTTTGACTGTTCCAACAATGACATTCTGCTTAAAAACATCTGATCCTAACTTATGGTACAGCTCTTCACAATCATCCAGGGGGATATGGAACAACCCCAACATAAAGGCTAAGATAGCTCCTGGAAAAAAAAAATATTTTGCAATGTAAAATGTATCCTGGAGTAAGATTACAAAGATGAATTATGAGCATAGTTCATTGTTTAACAGAATACCTGTCTTGAAACAGCAAGATCAATTGATATTTATATCACTAAATTCCTGGTCAGAGATCACAAACCATGTTTGAAAAGAATATATACAAGGTAGAAAAAGTCTCTTTTCAAAAACAGAAATATGAGAAGTTGAAAAATTACATTATTTCATTTTGTAGATGACAACAAGCATACGGCAGAAAGCAAATTAAATATACTACTTTACGTGGAAAGAGAAATGAGTAAAAGAAATCTTTGCTGTGGTATTAAAAATTTATTTGGAGCATTATTTGCTACAATGCAAATTCTTAAGTCAGTAGAGATGTATTCTAGGAAAATTCTGGAAAAATAAAGAAGATTTCAGTAGTTTGGATTACATTTGGTTGCAACCACTTATAATTAGTTTCATACATGCTGCCATCTAGTGTATGCCTACAAAAAATTATGACCTACCCTTGTAGGAACAAAATAACAGCATTCAAAAAGCACTGTTGCTAAATACCATTAAAAGGATTGTGGAAAAACACAATTAATGCATTACTACAATTCTTAGATATATTAAACCAAAAGGGACGCATATAACCTTTAAATCTAGTTGCACTACACTGTGAGAACCTGTAATTGAGCATTAGGAATAATTAGGACACATGATTTTTTCAGTCTGGAAATAAATGCCATAGACTTGACTATAACGCATGTGCAGAAAAAACTACATGTAGGAAGCTACAGATGGCTTTAAAGGAAACATGACTTCCAAGCCCTTTTTCATTCTTACAACGCCCACCACTGTGATAACAGCATTAGTGGATCTATGGTCCCAGCTTCCTAAAAAGGTAGCACACATGCTTAAGGCAACCTAAGCCTGCTTGACACAAAGTTTCATCAAGAGAAACTTTCTAAACTGCCAAACCACCAGATGCCTATATTCGAGGCAGAGTTAACGCCTAGCACCAGAGAAACACCATTTCCCCACATCATGCAAATCGTCTGCTACATTTTCTTCCTCTAAACTCTCCAGCACCAGTTCTACAGTATCACACATTTGCTATTTTGGTGAGCAAATTCAAAGTACGCAGGACCTATTACAGCATCATTGCAATGATCTTTCTCTGTGACTGCCCACATTTACAGCCTCTGACACCCAATGAAGAGAAGCACAGGGAAGCTAACTACAAAGACAGCGATGCTGAATACACAGGAAGGGCATTTCTAAACTTCAAAGGCAAAAGAGAAAAACAGTAATAAGAAATACAAAAACTGCAGCAGAAAAGAGAAGTGCAGTGCACAAGAGGCATTCTTTCTATCATCTAATCCATCACTCTTGTAAAGCACAATTCATTCAGCTGCAAGACTATCAGCATATGTACTGTCAATACAAACAGAACTGCCAGCAGTCCTGGCAGACATGCACAACCTCACCCAGCCATGTTTTCTCATTTATTATTGCAAACTGGAAAACTGCAGACAAAAGCTTAATTGTGTAAACTGTAAAAAAATTTAAAATAATATGCTAAGTACTTACTAGCAGTCATAAATCTCAAAATTTCCAGAAGAATTAAAAACAAAGTTAGTTCTAGTGACAGTAGTGGGAGAAAATTAAGAACATGAGGCATCTCTACCCAAGGTAAAACACCTTTATTATTATTGAAGATGACACTGGAGAAGTATTTTGTAGGGAAACCATCTTCCAAAGAAACAACCACTTACTGTTATACTAACCAATGCAGGGTTTATTTGGAAGACTATTAAAAATGTAAAGTAGGGAACTATATTGTGCCTACAAATTCTGTCTAAGAGACCTAAACATTTTCCTTCACTATTCTGAGTCTGTTAAGCAAATCTCTTGAAACACATATTATCTACTCATGGTGTTCTGGGTTTAATATAATTTCTGAATTAAACTGTATAGAATATAAGTATAGCAAAAAATTTGAAGAATGTGGGTTTCTAAAGGAAATTGCACTAGTAAACTACAGTATACCTCCTATGTCAGAAATTGTCATTGTGCTGTTACCTGGTCTAACAATTTCTAAAGGAGATTACTGTCTTTGAAGGAGAAACTTATGCTTCCTGCTTGCTAGGGAGGAGTAACTTATCATTTGAGTCACAGGAGTAATTAAGTCTGGGAGGGACCTGTAGACATTATCTAGTCCAACCTCCTGTTCCAACAGGTATAATTAGAATAGGTTACTCAGGACTATGTTCAGCCAGTCTCCATGGATGGAGATTACAAAGCCTGTGCAGGCAACTTCTTCCAGTGTCTGACCATCCCTGCAAGAAAAACATGATACCTAATTATAACTTCCCATATTCCAGCTTGTCTGTTGGCTTTTCTCCTATGACTGTTCACCTTCAAAATTATTCTAGAGCCATCTTTTCTTCATTTTCCCATTAGCTGAACCAGGATAAAGGTTTAGCCTTAGCCTTCTCCTCTCAATGCCAAATAAAACCAGTTTTTGTACACTCTCCTTTACATGTCATGAACTCCAGTCCCCTGATCATCTACTTGGGTCGCCGCCAGATTCACCCTTTGTGTACAAAAACATACCTAAAAGATTAAGGGCTTCTAGAGGAGCCCATAACAAGGCATTTGCAGCCAAACAGAGACCCTTAAATTGTTGGGTACATTCCTGTCCATGCAAGCCAAAGGTCAGCTTTCTTTGCTGTAGAGTACAGTGATGATCCACGTCCGACTTGTTCCAATCAAGACCAGGTCCTTTTCTGCAAAGCTGGTTTCTAGGCCATCAGCCAACCTCAGATGGAGGACTTTGTATTTGGCTTTACTGAACCTGCCAAGCCATTTCTCCAGCCTGTACAGATGAATACGAACAGAGGGCACCACAGCACTGACCACTTCCTCTAATTTAGGTCATTCAAGATCTTGCTACAAGGCACATTCTGTCTTACTGGCAGGTAATTAAGAAAGATGAAATATTGCTGTTAACTTAATAAAGGAAATATGACTGACCAGTTTCAATTCCTGAGAGATATTACCTTAGTAGTCTGTAAAGCTCCATAAATACCAAAGATAATGGTTTCTGTGTGCAAATCGAAGATTTCATGTAAATTGAAAAAACAACAAATCAGTATGAAGCCAAAAGTTTATCATGAACTACCCAAAGTTCTAATTCAGAAGAAAAGATTCTAGAAGTCACAACTGTACTTTCCGAGTTCACACATTAAGTCAGAAACTGCAAAATCTATACTTATTCTCAGATGTTCTTTTACTACATTGATAGTAAAACTCCAACTTGTGGCTTAATAATTACCTGTGCTTACACCACAGATGTAGTCAAAAAGTTGATGAACCGGCTTTCCAGTTAGTTCTTCTAGTTTCCGTAGAGTCTGAAGTGCAACTAAACCCCTGAAACACAAAATTCCCCTTCATGTACAATGGCAGTCTTATCTTACATAGCTCTAATAATTTTTCAATTGCCTTTGCTTCATTATAACTAGTTAAATTTGAGTAACTGCAACAGTAAAAATCCTGAATATTTCAGGAAATAAAAGAACAGCAGAACTCAACAAGCAACAGTTAAAACAGAATGATGAATACTAAGTATGAATGACATACTCAGGCATACCGAAAACAGTATTCAACAGCTAGAGCCATATTGCTTTACAGCAAAGTCTTGGTGATCTGTGGATGTAGATTAAGGACAGATTTGGGCTGCATCCCCACTACATAGCACTTAAATTTTGTTCTTAACAAGGCTATATCCCCTGGGGCATAGTATTTTCCAGTGTGGGGTTTGCTTGGCTTCAATTCAGTGTATCTGAAATAATGGGAGAGATGCATTAGAGACCATCAGATTTGTGCTCCTCTAGCATGAAACAGTATCTGGCATGCAGCCATGTGAACTCTGTTGGGACAGAGTGAGACAACTGTGCATGGCAAAACACACCAAAACAAACACCATTCAAGCAGAAATGCATAAGAAAACAATACTCGTCCCTCAGATAGTCAAACATAACAGAAATGTAACTCATTAATTACCACTTTGAACATTTACCTTTCAAAGAGAGACTGAAATTTTACTTTTAGTTAAAGTATGAAAAAGGTTACAAGTATGTAAAACCCCAGAAATTTTACCTTGTTCCTCCTCCATCAATGCTGAGGATTCGAATTCCCCAGCCTTCCACAGGGTCTGTATATCCAATCAGAGCTAAAGTTTCTCTAACAGCAGCCTGAAGACCTTCATCATTAGCCTGTCTCAGTCGCAGCAGGCAGGGGATTAATTTTTCCTGTTGATAAATATAAGGATATTTAATTCTAGAAATGAAAACAAAAGAATCCATTCTTAAATTTAACATGTTTAAACCAAAAGAATCCATTCTTAAATTTACTAGTTTGGCATTAAAGCATAAAAGTAATATACTAGTTAAACTTGGAAGAAAGCCTATTCAAATCTGTATTTACCCGTCTTTCTCTGACAAGGAAAAGAAAGAATGCCAATTTTATGCTTTACACACCTCATTGCTATAGGAAATACCTATCAGAATTAAACAATCATGATGATATGTCTATATTTTGGATATTATTTGCATATATATTGAATATTATGAATAGATTTTGGATATATAGCTATATATGTAGCTAGGAAAATAGCTAGGAATATGTAGATAGGAAAGCTACATTTACCAGTTTAGTTTTATTGACTTAGTATCACATCAGCCAAGTGTAGACTCAAGTATGAAACACACCAAGCATAGGTAAAACCCCAGAACTGCGTAATGCCTTCTAAGTACACTAATATCAAAACAAAATTTAAAATACTTTCTCACACAGAGTATTTTTTAAATATACATTACCCCAAAGATATACAGCATTACAATCAAAATGGTAGTAGTGAATACATTCTTCCATAATAAAGTAATTCACGAATGTTTATGTGAATGTCTGACCTGTACCCTGCCCAGATGATTCATCAGGCTTGCACTCTATTCCCAAAGGCTACTTTCCCAGAAATTCCACAATCTCTGTCACAGGTTTGTCACATCTCATAGAAAAAGGCACTAGGTTGACAAGTGCTGTGATTTACCTAGTACTTCTAGAATAGTCTATCACCTACCTCCTGCCCTCTCAATGCAGGGAAGGAAGCAAGTAGGACTAGATTACATGAACTTATTTAATGGTTCTCTTGCCATTTCTTTTTGAAGAAAGCATGTAAACAAGCATAGAAAGTACTGTGCATGTACAGATCAGCTGTACAGCACATTCCCATCTGGTCAACTGCCACGGAGGACACAGTGTACGACCTTTATCTACCACTGGAAAAAGCTATACTACCTATCCACATGACCATGCCGTATGCTTCTAAATTAAACACTGCAGTCTTAAGAGCCTTTAGCTAAACTCCCAGTAGTTTGCATATGAATCTGCTTGAACCAGCTAAAAACCTGACACTCAATTTGTAATCTTTGCAAATAGGAAATATGACTAGTCCACAAAAGCACAGAAGGAAGTTTAATGTTATTCTATATCAATCATTTGTCAGATTGTTTTTTATCCAAGCATAAAAACTCTTTGCACCTTAATTGCAACTCCTCTGCTCTCTGGATATTCTAGAAGATGATAGGTGAGTTCTTCAACCCTGTTGATGCAGACTCTTTGATTAGAGGATCTCCGTATGGCTTGAACTAAAGCTCGAGTCCTGTTATCAATACTCACTCTTGCAATGATCTAAAGAAGACAAACAGACAACATAGAACTGCTCTTAAGAAATGTGTAAAATTTGTCAAGACTAATTTCAGCATGTTACTTTAAGATTTCTCAGGAGCAATGAACAGCATGCTGTACTACAGATCTCCTACAGGTTCCAAGTAAGTACTCCTTAAAACATCAACAAAAATGTTTTGAATCTTTATTTAGTAGAAAACGGAATAAAGTTTACAGAAAGAATACACCAAACAAACACATCAGTATCCATTCAGATGGATTTTCAGGGCAATTCTCTGGTATTAAACCCACTGACAAACTATGAACTGTAAAATTACTGTAACTACAAAAAAATAGCACAACTAGATCTGTCTGTAATTATGGACTCTATGCATATATGAACTAAATATATGTACCTACAACACATACACACAGAGGTGTGTGTGTATATATATACATATACAATATATATAAACATATAAAAACATCTATACTTGCATAAAACATTTAATACTTATACACAGATGTATCTAGACCTAATTTTAAGTACATAAATATATTTCTAAGTTTACATGTAGTATGCATAAATGTTTATTAAAAATCTATTTGATTTTACATATGCACTTATTCATCAAAGTGCACAAAATGAATCAGAGGACACTGGGTTGAAAGAGGCCTTAAAGATCACCTAGTTCCAATCTCCCTCCTGTGAGCAGGAAAATCACACATATTTCTACTTATATGGAAGTAGAAATACTTATAAATATGTAGAAGTATGTGTACATATGCATGTAAGTATATGAACAGGTATATAGTTACCTATGTAAGTAAATGTGTGTCTATCTATGCTTAAATATAGGTATATACACTAGTGCAGCATATATACACACTTGTATAAAATATACATAGAAATAATACATAAATTAACACTAAACAAAGACTTACCTTTTCTCTCTGAAGAGACAGATGCTTTTCCCTCTCTTCTGCAGTCTTGGCCTCTTTTTTGTCCTCATCACTCTTCTCAGACACTTCTTGTTCTTGCTGTTTACTCTTTTCTGGTGGAATAACTTTTGTATCAGATCTTAACTTTGGAACCAACCCACCAATATAGCTGTCTACAAAAGCTTGCACACTGTTACTGGGATATGAAAGAAAGTTTGCAATACTTTTTTTAGTGGAAACCGGGAGGGCAGTATTTGTCTTTTCAGTACCCAAGGTCTCTACTTCAGGAGCCGAAGTACCTGCTGAATCCACTCTCTTTTCTTCACTTGTTACAGTATTTGCTGATGAATCAAGCTTATTCCTCTCTTCACTTTCAGAGTCCTGTAATAAAGCATTCTTTTTTCTTCCTTGTTCCATAAGAGAATTATTAAAGTAAGAGTTGATATGATCAGCTACGAAGTTGTAAGTCTCTCCAAAATTTGTAGAAAAGTAGCTTACATGAAAAAGGTGGTTTTTACTAGATGCTGAAACTTCTGGAGTTTCTTGCGAAGTGCTGCTTGAACCTGCTAACAGAGATTCCAAATTTTCACTTGCACAAGTGGATTTCCTTGCAGCTGGGCCTCTGTTGCAATCATCCTGACTTCTGACATCTGTAACTTGTTTATCATTTTCTAAATTTGTGCTGATGTTATTTGCATCTGCACTACTTTTATTTGTTTTACCCGAAGTACCCGAGTGGGACTTTAATCGAGCTATCCGTGACACCAGTTCACTGTGAGTGCCAGAAACTGCCTTTGAAACAGATTCTATAGTATTCTTAATTCGTGACATGCGAATGCTCACCCTTGTAAGTCCTTTAGAAGAAGAAGTTAAAAGTTTGGAAACTCTGTAGTATAAAAACTCATGGCTATAAATGTACTTGTTATACCAAAACGTTCTGCTCCTGGACCACTTACACCAAGGCTCACTTGTATGAAAAACTCTCAGCTGTGCAGCATGATTTATCCTCCAGCAGGCTTTAGGTCTACAGAAACACAGGTATTTGTTTCTCTGCTTCCACCAAAGACTTTTTGGGTTAATCAAAAAGACTAGGTATGTGTCCAAGGATAAATGAACTGTCATTACTTATAAATAATTGCACCTTTTCTATGTTGCTTTCTACTTCATTCCAAAAAATATGCGTCAATAAATAAGTCCCGTAATGTACTGTTGTCTGAAAAAGAAAAAACAAAACAAAAACCAACAATGGAAACCGCAGACCAGAAAAAAGTTAAACTAAAATCACAGAATTGTTCAAAACTGATGAAGCTTATGTATCCTTTTGGTAAAGACAGATAAACATTCCAATCAAATCAAATCAATTCAAATCATCTCAAGGGAATATCTACTGCTCAAGACATTTGGTAGCTCACCCCAACATTTCAACACACCATTCCCTAAAGGCCAGTTTCAGCTCATCTCGAGCAATATGTGACACTTCTCAAAAGCACATAGTGACATATAGAAAATTGATTGCTGTTTCTTCAGCAAATTATCTGGTGCAGATGCAACGTTTCAAATGTCATTATATTACTACCATCCCTTAGCAGAATTCCTCACAGGAGGGAGGGGAGGAGAAGTGACACCAACACTTTGAGCACAAAACATGCCCATCCTATGAGC